CCCCAAAACCCCAAAACCCCAAAACCCCAAAACCCCAAAACCCCAAAACCCCAGAAGGAGGCTCTGCTTCTATGTAATAATTCATACTTCGTTATAATTTAAAGTATTTATTAACATGGAAGAAACATCGGAGACTCCTTCAGGAGTATTCGAAGGATACCTCAAGAAACACAAAACAGTCGGAGGTCTCACTCTGTTTACTGAGTGGACCAAGCGGTACTTCGTGCTCAACCTCGACAGCTTCACAATGGTGTACTACAGAAACCGTAAAAAGAAAGGCAAGGCCAACCCTGTTCCGCTCAGAGAAATGCTCAAAGTCGCAAGGCCTGAAGCTGAAGCCACTGATACTCCTGTAGTAGGAGGCAAAGAGTGGGGGTACGAGTTCGAAGTTCTCACTCGCTCCAGACACTTCAGGTTCAATGCATACTCGTGGAACGACAGAGAAGTCTGGCATAAAGCCTTCACTAAGTTGATGGAGCACAAATAAAAAGATTCTGCTTGCCAGAGGAATCACCATGGATGAGTCTGCGCTTCATAAAGACAACCTCAAACAGATTCCTGACAAATACGACTTAAGAGACAGCGACTTCGGAGCCGGTGGAGGTGTAATCACCATTGCAGAAGCCTCTGAAATGTACAGAGATGAAGCCATTCGCAACATCGAGGAAGAAGAAGCCAGAAAGCTCGAGCAAGAAGAAGCTCAAAGGCAAGCAGAGGAAGGCGAAGGAGACCAAGCAGAGCCAGAACAAGACGCTCAACAAGATCCCAGTCAAGACCAGCACTTGCCTGACGAGAACGGTGGCTCTGACCCCAAGAGTAACACCGAAGACGACGACAACAAGTTTATGACTGAAGAATCGTTCTTAGAGCGCATCAAAGAAATCCGACATGAAGGAAGCCCTAGCAAGCGCAACAAGAAAGTTCCTAGCAAAGAGTCAGCTAAAGATGACAGAGAAGACTCTGGTGGCGACAACTTCAACCACCCTGACATTCCAAGCATAACCGATATGTCGAAGAAAAGCAAGTCTGTGCGAGTCAATTTGAAAAGAGCTAAAGACACTCAGGACGAACAAGCCGATGGAGCAGGGACCCAGAGGAAACTCAACATCAAAGCTAAAAAGAACAAACCTGAAGATGGCACCAAAGTGGAGAGACTGGTCACATTGCCTGAGCCTGAGAACAAAAGGCTGAACACAATAGCGTTTGAAGGGCAAGAAAACCAGAAGAAGAAGTACGACTTTAACTTGGAGGACACGGATCCAGATTTGCAATTTGATCCGGCTCAAATTAAGAATATTGTGACTGAACCTCGTGAAACTATCAAGCTAGCTCCTGTAAAAGAAAGCAAACTCCAGACTATTGCTCCTCCCCCAGAAAGAAAACCCGCAACGACCTATACAAGTGGATTCTTAAAGAATAATAACTAGTAAGTTTAGGAGCAATTTCTTTATTTCACTACGATGTTAGAAATCCTTAAGAATTTTCTGAATAGTGTTAACTTTATTTTAGTAACGACTTAGCCCAAGCTTTTTATCCAAAGCCTCCACAACCAAAGAGAGAGCCAGCCCAAAGGAGACAAATGACCATGGACAGCCCATCCAAGAATATTCAAAAAGAACACCCTTTATTAAACAAGTGGGAGAAACAATATGGTGGCATCAAAGATAGACAATTCTTAGTAGAAGATGATCCTGAAGATCATCATTTTACCGATAGGAATAGGAAATTGAGCAGTTTCAACAACCCAAATCACTTCGGAGGCAACACCTATGCCGATGATATTCCTGAAGAGCTTCCAGAAGAACCTAATGTAAAAGTATACGTTGAGAATCCTTTACTTGAAAAGAAGAGAAATAAATTAGAGGCTTCTAATTCTCAGAAGGAATTTGAATTTGACTGGGATGAGGAAGAGAGCATGTCCTATCTGAAGAAACTTGGTGATGAAAACTTTAAAGAAAATTATCATAAATATGGAAGCAAGAATGGTCCTGTAAAGCCACCGCTTAAGACAATTAACGAAAGAGAAGAAAAGGTTCCCAGAAAGAATAAACACAAGAGATCATCTAAGAGCAAAGTCAAGACAGAGAGAAGAAAGGAGAGGAACTTCAGGTCTGTTGCTCCCAAATTCGTTGACGACTGGGATGATTAAAATTATATTAATTTACATATCAACTGTTATTGATTACTCTGGGGTTTTGGGGTTTTGGGGTTTTGGGGTTTTGGGGTTTTGGGGTTTTGGGG